GGAAATATCCAAATAATAATTTTGTAATTGATTGAATTGTATCAATAACATCGATAAACACTACGTCTTTATTTCGTTATTTATTATTCGATGTAGAACATGGATTAATTTAAGAATAATTAAGAGCAGCCCATTGAAAAAAAACTTGAAATTTACGGGAGATTTCGGGGTATTTATTGCACAATTTGCAATAGAAAAAACGCCGTGAACCATCAGCTTGCTGAACACTATAAGAATGGATGTAATTTGCGTATTTTGGATCATATTCTGGCTCATCGATTTTTCCCAGGGAAATATTTTGGAACTGTGAAGTAGTCGGTTCTACTTGCGAATATGAAAAAGAACTAATCACTCCAAGTTGGAACGGTGATTTAAGAAGAATAAATTTCATTGTTTTTTGTGGCAAGATTCCGATTCTGATTCGGATTCGACAAAAGTGTCGTAGAATTCCGGCACTGAGATGAGATATGAAATCTGAGATGAGATTTCATCTTAGCGTCCCATTGTGATGTACATTTTTGTACTGCAAATGCGTTGAAAAAACGTAACGCATTGAATTTAGCGGCTGAATCAGCTTCAAAGCGTTCAGATAGCTAGCTGAAATTATCTCAATATATTGTCTGGTGTCATCAATAATGATCAACAGTTGTGTAATGTGTATACAATTTTTTTTATCAGAATAAACTCAAACAAGAGCGAAATTAATTGAACAGTTGGGATCAAAAACCAAAATAAAAGCCATAAGTTTTTGCATGGACATGTTACATTTAAGAAAAGTTCGAAAATACTTATGTATTGTTTTCCAACTCAGACTTTCAATTTAATCTTTCTAATATAAACAAATTCATCATTCGTGGTTTTCTGTGTTGAAATAACACAGAAATATTTATTTTTTTTAACAGCCCGATTTGGTTTTTAGGGCAGCCCATTCGGGATTTAGAGTAGCCCAAAACGGCAAGAGCAGCCCGTTAAATTAATCCATGATGTAGAAAATAGAATGGAAAAAATCTAGGGGAATATCACGCTCCTGAATCTTGTGAGATCTTTGAAATAACATCAATAGTATGACATATTTTCGAATATTCCGAATAAATAAATCAGATTTTTGTGGATTTTAGAGATATTTGGGATTTTTGGCATTGAATCCAAATAGATACATTTAAATATCATTTATAATCACAAATATCCACAATATTCCGCCGTATTCACCAATATCCACCATATTTCATACGACAGATTCTTAGAGATATATTGAATTTTTTTGAAATATTGGAAATAATCTAAGCGTGATATTCCCCTAGGAAAAAATCAGATCCACGGAATAAAATGTGTTGGATAGCGGCAATTCATTATGGCATTAATTTTCATTTTCCATGAACAAAAAGCCGATTTCAATTTGCATTGCTATTATTCAATAATAATAATTGGTAGCTTTGATTGAAATATTGCTCGCCATCGGTGATTAGATAAAAGTTGTCGAAATCAAATGAATATTCAATTTGGCAATCAGATATGATTCGGGTAAATAAGTGATGAACGCGAAATACCTTTCGATTAATTCTAGATAATTTATCAGACATTTTATTATTAGTTTCGGGAATAATTTGATATCGTCTGAAATTTGCATATATAAAGGGCTAGATTTATACGGAGCAATTTATTCAGAATTACAAATTTCTGGCAAACCAAACGAAACCGTGAGAAAATGAAGTCATTTAAATTCGTAACTTTGTGCTTTGCTGTATTGTCATTTGCGCTGCTATCTTCGAAGGCAAACGTTATTAAAAGCCCACCTGAAGATGCAAGACTTAATCGTTGGCTTGAGTATATTCAAGAGCAAGAGGGAAATTTGGAAATGGGACCTGAGAACGAAGCAGTTATCATAATGGGAAATGATCGATCAGGCAAAACTACACTTTCACTATTACTAACCGATGGCGACATGGACGGAATTCAAAAGCCAAATGGATCATTCCACTTTACCGATCAGAATAATTGCATTGCCACCGGGATTGATCGTAAACAAAGAATTCCCATGTTATTGGTTGACGAAAGCAGTGACACAACATACTACGACTGGACTGGATTCGAGTTTGCAACTGGACCAGATGCCGAATTGGTTGAGCATGACATTTTGGCGTCTCATTTCTTGAAAATATTCGCCAAATCAATGAAAGCAGTCAAGTTTGTGTTTACAGTTTCGGAAAGTATCCTTGATCCAACTGAACAAATGGAAACGTTTTTGGAGTTTGTACACCGTTTAACCGACTTGATCAAAAACATTGACAAGTATCGTGATGCGATCGCCGTGGTTGTCACCAAAGTTAGAGGTCAATTTCAATGCAAGAAAACTGATTCGTATGATTGGCATACTGAGAAATTACATATTGAGGAGATTGGCACCCGCTTAGAATCGGCAAAAAGAGAATTAGAGTTAAGACTGCAACACCATGATGATAGACATGATGACAAACATGGATATACCCGGGTGGACTTGGAACGCATGAAACAATTGGTTGATATTTTGTTGGAGAAAAAGGATGGACGTTACCAACGAATTGGAATACTCCGCGAGCCACAAGAGGACATCCCGGTGAAATATATGACTGTACAACAACATGAAAAGTTAGCCATTCGAAAGATCATCAATGATTATCTTCATTTTGTTGCAACACATTTTGATGACTTTGGCTACGCCGTTTCAAAACAAACCGAAAAGGAGCAAGGCTATGACAAATTGAAAGCGCACTTGGAACAATGAACAAATCTATTCCACACTTTTACTTTGGAATTTTATCGGGGATTTTTTTTTATCGAATCATATAATATATCATATTGTATTTCATTTAAATTCAGATAAATAGCATGTTGCGATTTACTTTTGAAATGTACCTCACATTAGTTCAAATGAAAGCCGTCATGTAATCATACGAACAGCGCTCAAATCGTTTTGTAGAATTTTCATACAAAATGACAGTGAGGCACTTTTGCAACATGCTATTTCATCTTAACCAAGGTTTTTTCTTCGGGCACTTTGATTTTCATACTTTTTATAAATGCAAATAATTTGCAATAATAAACAATTGAAAATAATATGAAAATTGTGATTTTTTTTCCTTTTGAATTGTATTTAATGGTTCACGTGCATTTGGGCACTTTGCAACTGACGCCTGACAAGGGCATGGTGCAATAGAATTTTCTTTTCAGTTTTGATGAACTTTTCGTATGTGTATCGCAACGTTTCGAAAAATATAACAATATTTTGAAGGGACAGATTTGCGTGTTAGAATTTCTATGGTGGAGGAATCAAACACCCACAGACATGGGTATAAATCAAACCAATTGAAATGAACTCTAACAAATCACTTTATCCCTTACCATATTTTTCAATAAATCATCACCTTTGATACCGCAAATGCTGTGCACGTCGTTGTCTTCCATTCGTTGAAACTGTTGGGTATGCAGTTCAAGCAACTAAACCGAAATGTATTGAAAAGTACACAGATGGACATCCGTTTTGTTTTCAAGCTTGTAAAATTCTATGCAAAAAGTTCTAATGAAATGAAATTCGAATTCAGATTTTATTTTTGGCCAGTTTGCATCTATTTTGTGAACATTATTTACAGTTTTAAAACGGGATAAACAATAATAAATTGGTTAATCATTCAAATCTGTGTATGTGTGTGTTTGTATTTTTTGTTTTGTTCCTCTCATCGTTGTTGATCTCTATTAAAAACAAAAACGAATTTTACAAAGTTCAATTTTGGTTTGTCAATTGTGCCCGTGTGAAAACAAAATGGAATACAATCTTTGCATGGGCTTTCCATTTGACATTTCAACAAATAAGAAAACAATGACAAGAGATCGAGATTTAAACAAACAAAATAGAATTGGAAGATATTCAACAATTATATTTAAAAAAAAATCGAAAAGAATCAAAATGAAATACAATCCTGTTTGTTAAATAATAATGCAACAAAAAAAAAACTGTGTGTGCCTCAATATGTTCAAAATGTCTATAAATTGGATAAATAAAAATGACATAAAATTGCTAAAAAGACAAAAAAAGAGTCTAATACATCTGACGAAAAGGAGTACGCTCAAAGCGTAATGACGCTGCGTGCATGATCGCAACTCCTCTCACAATTTTTAAGACAAACTAAATAAATGTCTAAAATTGAAAAAAATAATATATATATATAAACAATGGTAATAAACAGGTTTTCCATCCCTGCACAACTCAAGAATTAATTCGTTTTTTTTTTCTAAACATGATTTCTGCCTGTTTCGCTAACTTAACAACATCTCTCCACTTTCTTTTTTTATCTCACATTTCTCTTCACTATCGAAAATAAAACGGAATTATGCAACATGATTTTTTTTCCATTAATCATCATCAATAATTATGGGACTGGTTTATCTCTGCTTCATCTTGGATAAAATCGATTGATTTTTCTCTTATTGTTTTTTTTTCACTTCGGCATTTTCGGGTGGGTTATTGGTACAATTTTATTTTCGGGATGATTTTGGTTTTTATTCCGCCATTTTTTATGTCTTCGACTAAGTCACCGTTTTCATATATGGTTTGGTTGTTGGTTTGTTTGTTTTTTTTTCTTTGACAATGTCGATTCTTATACATTACAAATACATAATAAGTACAATGTGTTTCTCAATTAAATCAAAAATCGAAAACGGCGCGGTAAAAACATGAGTCGAATTTGTGTTCGTAAGCGATTTGATTTTTTTTGGACAATATTGTTTCGCATGTGTATGATTCAAACGCTAACGCTTCAGTTTTTAATCGAAATCCGTTGTCTTGTACGAACATAAAAAACAAAAATTGTTAAGAACGAAACCAATTAAAAAAATCATTTGAACTGCGAACAATAAATTCGTTCAGAATAATTTCTTTGTTTCATTTGTTTTTTCTTTTTTTTTATCTAAGTGCACATCGATTGGCTTATATCTCGGTTGGTTGTTGTTGCTGTTTGGATTAATACATGTTTTTTTTTGTTCGGTTGACGTGTTTGTGTGTCACATTTACATTATTTTTATCGGAAGTATAACAAGAGTGACGCGCTGAGCTTGCACGAGCGAGCGAGCGAACGAACGATCGATCGATCGATCGAGCAGACAGCCGATCGGTTACAATTGGTTTGCTTAGAAACTAGTATCAAATAATGTAGTGCAACAGTTGCAGTAAATTTCAGCTATTCGATGTTGCGAGAATTTGATTGATTTGTGTGCTATTCGTTAAGTTATCGCAATGGTTGATTTGAATGTGTTTTTTGAACGGTTTGGTGGCGCCGGTGTTGACTGCCATTGGTGACGGTGGCGACGTTGCTGTTGTTACTGTGACCGCCGTTGAATGACTGTTATTCGTTAGGAAAATCGGTGAATCAGTTGAGATCAGTGGCATTGCCATTACTGGTTAGCGACGGTGAGCGTAAATCATCCTTATCACTGTTATCAATTACATTCGTTTCGGACATTGCTCTCGGTGGCATTGTACCGTTCGATTGTATAACTTCCGATTCACTGTCGCTGCTCAATACATCATCATCATCGTCGTCATCGTGACCACCGTTATCACTTTCACTATCCAAATGATCAAAGAATCCCTTCAGCACGCTGTTGCAATTATCGAGTGTCATAGAGTCAGCTTCAACGCATATTTCGGTAAATGATTTCGGCGATTGATGATCCTCTTCACTGTTTGTAACCGTGGCCACCGGTGATGTGGGCGTTGATGCCAATCCATCGCCACCACCGCCGCTATTCGGATCATTGCCAAACATTGGACTGATCGGTGGCCAGGATGGCATTTGTCGTAGCTGATTTTCAATGGATAAAAATTTACGACGCGATTTTTCCACATTGTGAAAGCGATAACGCAACCGACGGAACAATAAATTCTCAACCAAATAGTATTCAATGAACATGGATAGTAGAAAATTAACCAGACCAATGCCCACAATTGTGATACGGAACTGTGGATCGGGTGGATATATAAGATCAAGCCAAGCGGTGAATCGTTCCCATTGGAAGACGGCCAATACCACTGTTACTATCGCATTCACAGCGAGACTGCATAAGAAGCCGATATTTGTAAATATTGATTTACGATATGGGGCGCCTTTTGAAAAGACCACAGCCAATATGATGTACTGGAAACATGATATGATGAAAATTGTGTAGTTCTCATAGCAACCGAGATTTTCATTCGTCTCATTATATTGGAATGGTGTGTACCAACTCTGTTGCTTCAAATAGAACCAACCCATCAGTTGGAAGCTAATCGCAAGCAGTAAGTGCAATACGAGCGATGCAATTGGTGACACCGATATCAATGAATTTAATGGCGTTTGTTTAACTAATGGGCCGACATACGCTTCCGTTTTGCCAAAGAAAAATGCAAATATCGAAATCATAAACAAATCGATGTACAAAAATTCAATATCAGTCAAATTTGAATCGATTGTATACAGTGTAAGTACAGATGCGAATTGAACCAGCGAATAGGCGGCCATGTATTTAAAAATGGCCACTGATGTGACCAGCGCACAGCGGCCCTCTTTGATGACATTCGGTACGCAGGCAATGGTTGGATTTTTTGATGTGAACGGCGATGCAACGGAACTTTCGGCTTCGGACAACGAAATACCCGTATGAGCTGCTTTCAATGCACCACAATCGTTGGCACCATCTCCACACATCGCCACATAGTAGCCCAATTCTTGTAATTCCGATATTAAGGCTTGTTTATTATCGGGCGACATGCGAGCGAACACAGTGCCTCGAGTTACAAATTTCGGCAACAATTCAGGGAAATTATCTCGTATCACCGTCCATGTTTTTCCCGTCATTGCAAATCGATAGTTATTATTTGGTAGTTCCGGCACCATATAATTATTCTCATCGTCGTAACCTTCGTATTGATTGTGTGGCTTGTGTTGTGTATCGTGACCCATTTCAATGTCGCGCAGCGTAATTTGTGTCGTTTGTGTGCATGTATCGACCGTTTCCAAGCTAGCAATGCTATTGCTATTCGTCATCAGCATGTAATCCGCTGTTCCATTTTCCATTGTTGCATTGCTATTCCGTTCGTTTGCGATGAAACCGTTCGGTTTCGACTTCAATTGATCGTTGTGTAGCTGCTGCAAATGTGCGGCCGACAAGTTTATCGGCAGCAATGGATTGTTTGGCGCTCCATTGGTGTTGCTCATTAGAGCGGGTGCGTTCAATTGATTATTGTTGCCCGATGGCCCCGTTAAATGGTAAATTAGCTCATAGTCATTTGAATGGAGTTGCTTTTGTTTAGCTGTCACAATGATGACATCCTGTCCCGTTGGTATCATGTCACAGTCATGGGCCACACTTAATGCCGTCAAGATATTATCACCGGTTACCATGATGGTGCGAATGTTGGCCGTCATCAAATTGGTGATGATATCGATGGTGTCGGGCTTCAAACGATTCTCGAGTATAACAAAACCCAAAAACGTCAAGTCACACTCGATTTGCTCGCGTGATAATCGCTGCACTTTTGCATAGGACACTTTCTTATGTAGGCTTTTGTAGGCCATGGCAATGATACGATAGCCTTGTTGAGCATACACATCGAGCTTCGTGTGAAAATCATTCGGAATTGTTTCCTATGTGGATTACGAACGAGATTCAATTAGCAATGAATTCCTTTTGAAACAGATGAAAATTCTTTTGCGGAAAAACCATAAGAAATTCAATACTCACCGGTTTGCACAGAGTCTGAATCATTTCTGGCGATCCTTTGCAGTAAACATTGAAATTCTTATCCATGAGCTTTCGTGTAACAACGGCCATACGTTGCAATGAACTGGTGAATGAGAATTCACGCACAATACCAATATCCATGTCTCCATTCAATTCGGAGTTCGATGATCGATTTTGCGTTTGGTCCAGATCATTGATTGTATCCATGCTGCTGCCTCGGCTGTTATCAACTGCAAATGCATCAAATTAACAAAAATTACAAGTTAATATGCGAGAAAAAAAACTTGCTTCAGAGCACTTGTGTAATTTTCAAAATAAAAGTCAGTTCAGAATTCCCGCCTATTAAATTATGAAATATTCGAATTTTGGAAGCTTTTCTGTTTTTCTTTTCAATTTTTTCCAATTTTATCTATTGAAAAATTAATTTTGAAAATGCCTCTAAAATGTTTGGAAATTTGTTTGCATCGAATCATATGGCATTTTGCATAGCTATGGATTTTTATCTTCTTTCTATACACAAATTTTGGATAAATAAAAATTGTCATACCAAGTTGATTGCGTTTCGGTGGCCGCACAATGGTTGGAAATAGTAAGTCATATTTGGTGTCATCGGAAATGTTAGCCTCCTCTAAAATCCAATTGGTCGATTCAAACATTTTCAAATCTAATGGATCACCTTTCAGTTCACCATTCATAATGGTGATCGAATGGCATGTTGCCATTCCATAAAGCAAATGGTCATAAGGCAAGCGTTCAACGTCACGCAATGGAATTTGAAATAAATTTGTTGATGATGTTGGCACAACTCCCCACATATCCAAACCGTCCTCAGTTAAAGTTCCCGTCTGAAATAGAAAATGTGCAAAGAAAAAACCATGTAATTTTTCGCATTTTCCTTCATATCAAAATTTTCCCTTCGTACCTTATCAAAGCAAACACAGTCAATGCTGCCGGACACTGTGATTGATCTCGGGGAAATGCAGAAGATATTATTTTTTTCTAAACGTTTTTGAGCATAAAATGAACCAACAGCCATTGCGGCTGGTAAAGCTGGAGGCACTGCAATTGTGATCAGATCCAATGATTCGATTGCGATTTTCGTGGCCGGAATCCCTTTTTGAATCTGTAATGTGAGACGGGTGATTTTGTTGTTGTTATTTTCAACTGAAAACTGTTCGAATAAAACTCAATGGCTCCGATACTAACCTTCGATACAAGTGTGTATATAAATCCAAGGGCGGCGGTCAATCCAAGCAAAGCGATGAATTTATAGGAGTCTTGTTCGAATTTGTAGTCAACCGGTGGTGGATAGAGGATGGATCGGATGAGGCCACCTTTGGCGGTAATATTACCGGTGTTGATGATGCAGGCGAGCACTTTTTCGGTGCCAATGTATCTCGTTTGAATGACTTTTGTGCCGGAGAACAGGACGTGTCGACTGTGTTCGCGTGTATCAAAAATCAAATCCCGTATGCATGGCAATGGGGTCTTGGTGACCGGTACACTTTCGCCCGTCAACATTGATTCGTCCAAAATGCAATTGCCACTCAATAGAACGGCATCACATTGCATGGTGCATCCATTTGATGGAATCTCCAATATATCGCCAGGTACTAAGTATTTGGTATCGATTTTTTGTGATTTGCCATCTGCACGCACTACAACGGCCGTCTCCAGGCTCACCACCGTTTTGTACAGGGCCAATTGATTTTTTCGCGTTTGTATAATTGACATGGTGATACCAAACACGGACATCAAAATAATCACAACTGCATAGTAATAATAATTGTAGGAGAACCACAAACCCACCGAAAACACTTGAAACACATAATATGGATTTAATACTTCGAGGAATAGCAATGTTAAGACACTTTTCAACGGAATGAATATCTGATTTGAACCGTAGACCAATTGCCGTGAACGTTGCGTATGCACATCCAATCCTTTTAGCTGGTGCAACAACGTGGCCGGCACATTTGCATCGAGTCCCTTCAGTTTCACAAACTCAGACGATCGCTCATCCCAAATATATCGCAGCTGCTTGCATTTGAACAGCCGCAATGAATCGATATCTATATACACGGACAAGCGCGCGCGTAAACGAAGAGGAGAAGAAAAAAACCAATTGCATTATAAATGTTGGAACAATCGAAAACGAGGACACACAAAGTGGGTGAAAGAAAAACGAGAGAATGATACTCACTTCGAAATATTCCACCGGATAAATGAATAGATAATTGAAAATGTTTCTCATCGAAATCGGTATCTGTATCGTCCTCATCGAATGGCATAAATTCATTTTTTCCGCTTCGTTTAGCACGTATTTTCCTGCAATTGCATTCAATTGAAATGGAATTGAATCAAATGATTTATCGACATAGTTATTTGGTTGTGTTTTTTTTCGTTGTTTCCAATTCTGGGGAAAGATAAACAATAAATTTTGCATAATATTGAAAATGAGACGGAATTTTATCGAGGAGAAAAAAGTCTTGCAGCAAAAAAGCTATTGAAAATAGAGGATATCGTGTGCGTTTTACTGCGATTTTTTACTTTCTTTTCCTCTCTCTCTCTCTCTCTCTCTCTCTCTCTCTCTCTTTCTCTTTCTCTCTCGATTCAATCAAAAGAATAAAAAACTATATTTGAAAAGAGGAAAACGGCATTCAATGATGCTCCTAGTAAAGAGCTTAAATTAAATTCCAAATAATTTTGCATGCGAATGATGACGGTACAATCAATTTCAATTGCTGCTGTTTATGTATCGATACTGAAAAGATAGAACAAAGTGAATTGCATCGATTTTAAATCGACCTCCTCTCTCCCTGCGTCCACTTCACTTCACTTACCGGAACCATTCAGCATCCATGTTGATCACATCTTTGACATAGTGTACGGTGTGTTTGCCTTCAAAGTATTCGCGAATGAGAATTTTCCTCGCCACACTCAGTCCGCATGGTCGATGTGTTGCAAAGAGTAGCCAATGTCGTCGCCAATGCATAAATAATCGGATTAGACCGGCCGATAGTATAAATGCAATCCATGTTAGTATTGTTTTTACGATTGATCGTTCGTAGCCGGTAATTGTGATCTCATCGTCTTCGCCCACATTTAAAACGGCCGTTGTTTTTGCCGGTAAAGTTTTCGAGGTAGGAAGTGATGATTTGGACTCATTTCCTGTGTGCAAGCCAAAAAGAGAGAAGAAACAGAGAAATATTGAAAAAGGGAATGTCAATTTGGCTGCAAAAATGCAGTAAAAATGATAATAATGGCACGAAAAATGAGGTGAAAGTTCAAGGTCAATAAAAAGCCATTAGCAATACAAGGATAAAATCGGTTCACAAAAAAAATCAAAATGCAAACGATATATGTTTGTGTGTGTGTGTGTGTGTGTGTGGGTAGGGTAGATATGGTTGTATACCTTTTAAGAGCTCAGCTCTTTGTTCTAAATATTCGTTATGTGCTGGATGTGTACTGTTACCACTGTCCACAGCCAGACGATTCTTACAAACTATACGTTCAGCGCGATTTGGACTTAACGGTACAATTTCCTCATCAGCAGCAGTACATGACAATGCCATAATGTTTGCATCATTGTCGAAAATTTCACAATCGTTATTGTGGTGGCGAAAGCGATTTTTTCGCGTCAAACCGTGCGTACCGCCGACAATGAATCGACGTAAACGCATTAAATTGTCGCAAATGGTTGATTTTCGCACCGTTGCCGTTGCCGCTGTCGATGATGATCGTCGACGCGATTCAATCGATTGCCGTTTGAAATTTAACGTTGAGGCACAAACATTAGATGATGGTACGGAGCTAGATGTAGTCATTATTCTTCTTCTTCTTTGAGGTATGTTCGAATCGAGATTGTTGTTGAATATTCGAATTTGATGTTTTTTTTGTCGAAATGAACTACGTCTTTGAGCCCGCTTGGATGTTGTTGGTTGACGATTTGTCGATGAGGTCTGCTGCTGTGGGTGTTTTAGTACCTTTTCAATTCGGAAACGTTATTGTTTTTATCTTCACTAACTGATTGGAGAATGAATTTTAGCGAATTTATTTAGTTATCTATGTTGATTGCGCTTTAACGCTTCAGCGTGCTGCTTTCCACCGTCTCAGGCTTTCTATACGTTGCTTTTCTCTCTCTCTCTCTCTCTCTCTCTCTCTCTCTCTCTCTCTCTCTCTCTCTCTCTCTCTCTCTCTCTCTTATTTTCGTTTCGTTTTCAAAATGTTTTTTTCACTTCCAAGCAGTCGCGCACCCCAGATCGTTCCGCTCTTTCTCACACAATTTCTCACTCGATTTCTTGCTTACATTTGATTCGGACCCATTACATCTGGGTATTGACAACCAAGACAACAGAAATTTGAAACAAACACAACGAAAAAAAAACTCGATTCTGCGGCAGCGCGTCTCTTTTCTTTCTTCACTCAATAACGGGCAATTTTCGCTCGCCGCTCGCACTCACATCTGAGTCTGATTTCAATTGATTGTTTATTAATTAGTCTAATGAATTTTAAAATCACTCTTGAATATACACATATTAGACGCCGTTTATGTTTGTCTTTTGCTTTACAAATTTGTTTCCCACTATTTACATTCTTGTATTACGTACAACACACTGTCCGGTTCACTGTCACTGAACCGGTCGCAACGTTGGTTGTTACGCACGTCGCTTATAAAATCTTCAAATAACACTAAATGGGAGAAAAAAAAGAGAATTGTTGTTTTTTGTTTATTGGGTTAAATGTAAGCAATACTCGTAGAGTAGAATATATTCATGTGTATCGTAGTGTTCCAGTCTGGCGCGAAGAGAAGTAAACTACCGGTGGGTTCAGAGAAAAGAAATCAATTGCGGACGTTGGGACAATTTTCAGGAAATAACCAATTCAATTGCATTCTTTTCGGTCTCTTGTTTCAGACATTGTCACATCATTTGTTGCTTCAATTTGTAGCGTTTCCATTCGTGTTGATTCTATCCAGAATTTCCATTTGAAATGAGGTTTCGATTCGATTATATGAAAAAGTATTCATTTCATACTACTTCAAATCGATGTTTAGTTTTTTTCTTCTGATTTTCCATTATCTCGTTGGTTTTTATGCATTACTGAATCCGTGATTGAATTCAATTTTCAATTCGTTTGTTTGATCTGGGATATCGTTTCACTTTTCACAGTACATTCTTAACGAATCCGAATCAGTTTTGGAATGATGAATCATAAAACCTGCCGTATTTCTTTTCTTCTTGTGTTCTATTCTTCTTTTTTTTTTTGCAGTAAACCATACAACAGAAAAACCAATTACATTTGCAATTCCATGTCATGTTTTATATGTCTCATGAAATTCTCAACCAAATTAAAATTCACTCAATTTGGAGATTTACGATTTGTTAAACGATAAATGTGTATAGATTATGATTGGAAAATTGGAGTGTGAACAAATTCTCGGGGATTTTCATAGTTACTTGTAATTCAAAAGAAATTTTATTGGTTTTTGTTATCGTTAAATTGTGCTTTATGTGATGAAAGAAAGAGAGAAAAAAGACCCCGGAGATGGATTTTCAAGAGATGAAAAAAGTGCAAAATTCCTTCGAGCCATTGCTTGCTCGTTTAGATTAATAATTTACTGAGTCATCGCATCGGTAGGGAAAAAATAGTCATAAAAGAAATGGAAGGGAACAAAACTAGGATGAAGCTTTGCTGCACTCTGATTTGACGTAAGTTGCTTCGTTTGAAATCACCTCAGGCATTTGCATCCACAAAGAACTGATTATCTTACCCTGTTCTTTCTTTCAATCACTCTCTCTCTCTCACACACACACACACAATTTGATATCATTCTTCTGAATGGCACAGCACTGCACACGAAAACGAACCGGGTCAAAGACACGTGAAAGCAAACAGAAAATATGCTTCCGAAACATATCATCGTCATTGCTCTGCAAAACCATCCGAAGAGCTGAATGGCCAGTGTTGTGAACAGAAGCTATATATTTACTATGCACACAATGAAAATGAGAATTCAGGAGTTAATGTATGCACGAGACAATCTCAATAGGTGAATAACCGTCACTGCCAAATATCTCATTGCATTCACATGTACACACTATATGCATAGCGTCTGTCTGTATCAGTGAGTATATATGGTGGTCGGTCGCACTGTTCCGTAAACTGAAATATTGAAATCCGTCGGACTTTTGAATGGGGTGCTACCACCGGTATTTTGCCATCACAAATAACAACAACAACAACAACAACAACATCATCATCATCATCGTCATCGTTGACATTAAGAAAATGGACATGATTGTGTGCGTATGTGTACACCAGGCGAGTGAATGGCATGTAAACAACATTCTATATGCATGCGCCTCGTGTGTTTTTTTTCTACATTGTCAACGAGATGCAGAACGCAGAAAAAGCCGCCTAATAAACAGCACGGTAATGATGATGAACGACTGACCAGAAAAAGGGATGAATCAAGTTCAAATGAGAATGAACTCGACCGTATATACACAAAAATATGAGCGTGCAAACATCGAACGACCACTGAATTCCAATCCAATCAAATGAACCATTTGGTTTGAGGTTTCTAATTGTAATTTACTTAAATTGATGCGGTTGTGAGTGAGCAAGAAAGTTTAATTATGATTTGGGACGCTTTCGACTGACGCCACAATCATAATCGATTTCGTTTGAAAAACTAATTGTGTCTCTGTCAATTGTGTCGATTTATTATTACTCTGAATTTATTTTAGTCAACGAAGAGCGGAAGCGCCGCATACGAAGGAGAGAGAGAGAGAACAGATGGAGTAGATGTGATTGATTGTCCACATGCTTGTCCGTTTGATTCTCAAGCGCAATGATTCAAATGCCACCAAATTCAAATTCATTGAAAATCACTTGAGCTCAATTGATGACCAATTAATAAAACGTAAAATCGTGTCTTGTACAAAATTTCGAATGGCGCGTATAAATTACGCATTTCATATTCAAGAGATACGCTGTTCGATCGTTCGAATTGTGTCAACGGTTTGTGCCCATGTGTATGTGTGCCTGTATCTATAGTTATTTCAGTTGTTGATTTATTTCATTAAAAACGCGTAAGAAGCAGCCAGAAGACAGAAAAAAACACGCAAAAAGTAGGGAAACAAGTATAAACACGCGCGAAATCACGCAATGTCAAGAAGAGCAAAAAAAAAAGAGCTGAGTTTGAACCATCGCCAGAAGTTGACTGATGCCAGTGCACAGAGCGCACATGTATGGCCAATGTCCAATGCGTCGGTTCGGTATGAATCATGTAATTGGCGAAGGAGTTTTCAATTGGCTAAATGGAGCGTCTTTAATGACACAACCGATTAGTTCGTGGCGCCGCTGTTGTCTTTTTTCTTCACTCCATCTCACACACACACATTCACTTTCACTCACTCCATTTCTATCACACGCCGCGCGTAATTGGTCATTGCAAACCATTTATTTTCAATGTTTTCACGGCGATGACGCGTCACCATGAACGTCAAATGTAACACAAGACACACAAAATTTAACATCCAAGTGAAGAGGAGAAAGAACGTACGTCAAATCAAACGATTCCGATATATCATTTGAATAATGAGTATTTACTATTTGTTGACAGAAGTAGCACACAAATTGATGACACACCACATCGCAACCGCACAAAGAAAACAGAAAAAAAGAGCTAGGCCAAACAGTACACACTACACTGTCACGTAGTGTAAAACTGCAATCACTTTCCTTTATGCTTAAGCCGACAGAGCACTTGCTGTGTGTGTTGCGCTGTTTCGATGATCGATCAATTTTGGTTCATGTACAGAAAAAGCCAAAATTCATTTTCAACCGCCGTGGATGTATACTCGGTGCCACTGTTGGAGTGTGTTTGTAATACGTATCTATGCTTGTTGAAATGCGGGGATTTGCCCAAAACAGTCAACATTTGCTTTAATCATTCATCAAGCAAAAAAAAAGAAGCGAATTGTTTTTTTTTCGTCGTCGAAATTCGTCGACATGGCTCAAAATCGATGAAAACTATTCATTTGGCATTGTACGGTATTTGTGTTAGGCAGAATGGTTGGAAAAATGCTAGTTTTTCACTGGGTCGTGTACACATTTGTCAATATGCATTCATCAAACAATAACAACAGCCGAAAATGAAACTG